TGGAGAAGGGATTCCTTTGCATTGCCAGTGGCGGCGTGAGAAATGCCTTTGGTGAACGCAGACGCAGTCCCAGCTGGCTCGTCGTTACTGCTGGCAGAGGGCGTAGCTAATTCCTGCTCCTTTGGTGTCCTTTGCTCTGCAATCCACCTGCCACCGTCCTCATCTGCTGCCTGTTGTCTTCCCGTGCGTAGCTGGCTGTCCCGTTGCTGCAGCTATCCTAGCCATTCCCCTTGTTCCTGACCCGTGCCCCCTGCGTTTTCAGTCCTGTGTATGTCCCGAGCACCAAGCGAGATCGCTGTGTAGAGCTGTAGTGGAGGCAGTTGTGAAACCTAGTGTTACACAAGGATTGAATTCCTGGTTCTGCTGCAGTCGGTGACAGAAATGACTTCAGTGGGAAGGAGGAGTTATTTCCCACAGTTTTAAACGCTGTACTTGGTAAGAATCATCTGAAAATAAAGGGAAAGGTGGGTTAATTGGGGGAGAAATCAGAGTTTCAAAGAATTTGTGCATTTGAAGCTGGTACTGGTGGCCAAGAGTATTCTAGCAGAGCTGTGTTGTTCCAGAGTTCCACGTTTAAAACCTTTGTCTGGTGGAGCTGGTCAGAAAGGGAGTAACAGCTTGGGTAGGGCATGTCTAAAAAGGGTGAGGAGCTTTTTAATAACTGAAAGGAAAACGAAGGAAGGAGGCAAGCAGTCAACATATGGAAATGTTTATAAATGTGAATGTGACAATGTCATTCTCTGTAATCCCTCTGGTATTTCTTGTGACACCGGGAAGCGACCGTTCTGCGCAAACGGCGCTCGCTCCCTGGTGGTATCGGCAGATGCTGCTTGTCCGCGTCGGGCTGCATGCACGTGGGGGAAATCTGGCTGCGGTGGCTCGTTCCAGTTTTTCCTGTAGTCTGCCTCCCTCAAGTGCCAGTCTTCTGTGTGATGCTTTAACGGGTTTTCCTTGTATAAATGAGTATCTTGTCCTGAGAACATGTGGGATTTTGGCCTATTGTATATTTACGTGTTGTGCTGCAGATCTGAGGTGTAAAATGTCAGGTTTTTTCACGTTATTCTGCCAGAGATGTGAACATATTCATGGAGTTATTTAAAAGAAGGTATTTTTCTTTTAAAGCAGCTTTATAATTTTAAATGTTTGGAATTCATGAAGAGCAGAAGAGCTCCTGTTTAAAAAATATAGCTCATTTTAGGCCAGGATTTAAATGTGTACTAAAACATTTAGCTCTGACTTTCTTGGAGAGAAATAAAATCACTTAGTTATCTTTGTTAATTAGCCACTGCTCCTGTCTTTTCATTGAAGTCATGAAATTGTGCTTCCATACTAAATGACAAGAGGAGTTGTTGGAAAACCTCTGGGCTATTTCTCCCCACCCCACACTTCACGTTAAGACTCAGCCTGAAACTGCTTTGTTACAGCTTCTTGAGCTCTTTCTGCAGAAAGCAGAACGGGAGTTGTTGGGTGCCGGTTAGAGACGTCGTGCGCGTAGCCAAGACTTGTGCTTCATCTGGGGTGAGTTTTAGCGCTGGGAATCTGCTGCAGAGACACGTGGAGGTGGCCCCGCTTGCCTGTGAGCGGTGCGGGGTGGCGGAGGGCTCTCGAAGCCCGGCAGCGGTGGTTCTGGCTATCAGCAGGGCGAGTGGGGAGCACCGGTCAGGCGCATGGCGGGGGGTTGCTGGAGAGGCCTTTTCCCTTTGCTGGCTGTGCCCTGTGGCTGTTTGCAGCGAGGAGCAGCGCGTGGAAGGAGTTCAGCTGCTGGAGCCCTGCGTGCGATGGGCACTGGGAGACGTGCTGGGGGTCCCTGCGACTTCCGGGAGGAGAGTGGCTTTTTTTTTTCGGCAGCCAGGCTTCGCTGGAGGGTGTCAGCTGTAGCAAGTAGCGTCTCCTCTTCCAGGTAAGAGATTGGGTGGGAAAACATGTTTTCTTCAGCCTCTGGAAGTGATTTGCTTACACGTGATTCACCATTTCTTCTGGGTGCCGCTGAACGGGCTGCTTTTGCTGCTCAGGATGCAGGAGCTGGCTGTAGACGAGGTTGTGTAATGTAGAAAAAAAAAAATTAAAAAAAAAACGACAGAAGGGGAAGGGAATCTCCAACACTTTAACTTAAATTCCTCAAATTGTCAGTCTGGAAGGGTCCAGATTTCATCCTTCTTTAAAAAATGATCTTCTGGAGACAGGGATCATTTCCTTCATCACAACAAACATGCAGTGCCTGCTTACATGAGAACGTTAAGCAGCAAGCAAACCTGCTGCTCTGCTGGGAAAAAGTGAGCCGGGTGTGCGCCGGAGGCCTGGGTGGATGGTGCTGCTGGCGAGGCTGAGCCAGCCCCTTACTAACAGGACAAAGGCACAGCCGAGACCACCGTTTATACAAGAAGTTTTATTGATGTTTTGTCAATACAATCAAGTACTGTAGTTTTAGTTCTGAAGGCCAGTTTCTGATCACAAAAAGAGTGCATTTTAAACCAACTTTTACTATGACAGACAGTGCATGTAATAAGTATTTACAAAACTAAAAACCTCTATATACTAGGTTAGAAATGAAGATATTGGAGGCAAATTTAAAAAAAATAGTAAGAATTTGTATACAAAAATGCACATTGTAATGCAGTTTTCATAATTAAAAATAGACATACTTCATCCAACCCAACCTTTTTTTATTATTGTGATTGAAACCAAAATCCCACGCGCTCACACACACGACAAAATGACCCTTTCTGCTGGCGAATAGCACGTGCTCAGTACTCCAGAAAAACAATTCTTCCCGACAGTGTCCGGTTTAGTGAACAGCCTCCCTCATCCTGTGCATCGTTTTTTCTAGCCTAACCCTGTGTGTGTGATATCTTTGCCTTTCAGTTGCTGTGTAAATGTAACGGGTTATATAGCTGCGGAGGGTTGATTATGGTTTATGCTCTGCACGTGAAGGGAAAGTGAGATTGCAAAACAGTATCTACAGCGCTGCACGAGTTACTCGGTGTGGTTATAGTGACTACTTTTGTCATCGCTTTTTGCCAGCTAGAACAAGAAATTGAGAACAAAATGGAACAAAAAGAGATGGAATGTAGATTAGAACAGTATAAATAAGTCGCTGTGCTGAACAGGACGAAGCTTCCGCCCCGGCGCGGGAAGCTCCTGCCCTGCTGCAGGCAGTGGGCACGCGTCGCCAGCAGTGCCGCGCGGCGGAGCCCGGCACCAGCTCGGGTCCATTGCTGACCTCCACAGGAAAGGTGCTTCACCTACGGAGACGCGGGCCCCACCTTAGCACCCTCCCCGCAAGCCTGAGCTTGAAGAAAACATCTGAGCTTCCACTTTTAATTTTAGGGACTCTTTTTGCATGGCTCCTGTTCCTGCTGGGAAGTGACCTGTTGCGATCAAAACCCGAATGGCCCCGACACCCCCCTGCCTTCAGGAGTTAAAAACGTCCAGTGGGATTGGACGCGCCGGGCAGCTTTTCAGCTTGAGGAGGTTTCATCTTTAGATGAAACTTCCAGCTTTGTGTGGAGAAAATCCCCAGGAGTGGGACAGGACAGGCCCAGCCGCAGCGGGGCAGTAGCTGAAGCTGAAGTAGCTTTCAACCATAAATTTCCTTTTTGTGTTTCTTAATTTCAGGGATAGGACGCCCTGGATGGCAAGAGGCAGAAACACAGGATAGGCTTAAGGAGAAAAACAAACAAACAAAACATATAGGAAAAAAGTTGTTTAAATATCTTGTACAGTCCATCTGGAGAACAATTCCAAGTCCCGTTCTTGCTGCATTTCTTTTCTTTGGCCATAGAACAGGCTTTAGGAGAACGTAAGGGTAATAGTCGCTCAGCTGGTGACCACATTGCTCTGTTTTCTCAGGGGTGGGCCTTTGCAGAGAGAGGGACATGCGGTGTTAACGCGTGTGGACTAACTCCAGCAGCGTGCTGCTTGCCTGGGATGAGAAGAATCGCTTTACTGTAAGTGCAAGTGGCAATGGCTGTTCTACCGTGGGAAAATCGGCAAAGCAACGGGGTGCAGTTGCTCCCTCTAGCAAAGGGCAGAGCAGCCAAGTGGTCAGCGTCCGTGCACACCTTTCCCAGAACCTTGTAGCTCGTGTTCAGGTCGGTAACGTTTCAAGCATTAGTGAGAGAAAGTGGTAACAACAGACACTTGTGATTTTTTTGTTGTTTTTTTTTCTTTTTTTTAACCTAAGTCACAGACTGGCACCTGGCACGGTGCGCTGTTACGGGTACATATTGCACTAGACTTGTAAATAACGTTGTTAAGTAGATAATAGCACCGTTGTAAAATGACTGAATGGAATGTTAGAACAAACACTATTTTTCTTAATTAAAAGGTCCCCAGAGAAAGGGGGGATACCAACACAAAAGTTTACACATCCCG